TGGGTGTTAATGTAAATTTGAGTCATTTTAAACTGCATTTCTATGCTGTTTTAGTTGAAAATGTTGCATGGCAGTAATTGTTACTTGCTTTTATAACTGTATTTTGTACATTTTGAATCTCTTTGTATAAGGCCATAGATTCCTGAATTATGGGTTTTAGTGCACTTAATATTAGCTTGCTTAAGATACACTTTTAATCAAGTAGAACAAAAAATATAAGTGGCATTTATACATGCAGAAACTATTAAAGTATTTAGTATATAAAATATTTTGAATACACAGCTCTTCTGTCAGTGAACTCGGCATTGTGTTCCTTACACTAAATTACACAGGCTGTCTGGATAATTGAATTGGAACTTCATCTGCATGTGTATATATGCCAAATTGTCAGCATGACACAATTGACAGATGTTATTTTTGTATTTTTTAAAAAAGTTTGTTTGTATATAAAATTTTTTTTATTTCTTTTGTGCAGATCAATTTTTAAATTCATGTAGGTAGGTACTTTACACTTGTAAACTATGAAGCGTCAATGTTAGCCGGACAGTGTGACGGAGCAGTGGAAGTCGGAGTTCAGGGATGGCGCAGCAGCCATCCCTGAAATTCTAGTTCTGCTTTGCCTTGAAAGCATCATCGATTTGTATTTTCGTGTTAACTACAAAATCGTAGATGTTTCATATTAAAGACAGACCAAAATCAACACATGGAAGCTTCAGACACTTCGGGAAACTTAACTTTAAGTACATTTGGCCTATATTAAATAAAATTTTTATTAACTGCTTCTGACCATATAAAATGCTAATTACAGCAAACCTGGCCACCTTCATAATTATGATAAAAATACTAGGTATAATGTCAGAAGAAAATGCCTAGGAGGTAGCAGATACCTTTGACAAAGTATTTTTCAGAATGGTCACGTAATGTACTTATTTTTAGAATTAAAGATATTGAATGTTTGTTGGGCTTTTACATTTTGGCCAAGCAGGATTCCACATGATCAAATTCTGGAGGACCACTCCTGAATTTAAAGGACTGAAGTGTGTCTTTTAAATTGACTGTCTTAGTTTACTAAAGAATCTTTCTCTGAAGTTTAGAAACATGCTGCTTATGACAGAATTAGGTATTTGAGGTACCAATTGAGTGTTCTGGAATCTTTGTATCATACAACAGAAATATGCAAGATTGATATATGTTGAACATTGAGGTATTTTCACAGATTTGTTTCTTGACAAAAGTTAGAACAGTAGGAAAAGGTACACTGAATACGAATGAATGAGAAAAGCAACTGAGACCTAAAATTTGGCTTTTGATTTTAAATATTTAATTTGTTCCTGTAAACCTTGTCAATAAAAGAAAAGGTAAAAAAAAAAAAAAGAAAGTACCTTACAATAAATAAGCAGACATCATTTACTAAAGATAAATGCCACTAGGCTGAAGTTAACTCTGTCCTACTCATTTTGGGACTACATATTGTTATTTTAAGGTTTAACAATCATTAGGCACTTAAAGATGTCTGGGGCCGACCAAATGGCTCAGCGGATTAAAGTGCCTGCTTAGGCAGGCACAGGGGCTGGGGGGAATTCTATCCCAGGTCTGCTGTGCTGGCCTCACCCCCAGGGTGCACTGAGACAGTGATTGAGACTGGGCGTGGTGGCGCACGCCTGTAATCCCAGCACTTGGGAGGCTGTAAACAGGAGGATCACTACAAGTCTGATCTGCATAGTGAGACCCTGTAGACTCTGTAGTTCTAAGTACAAAAAAAAAAAAAAAAAGTCTGATATTGAACTAAATTTGTGGAGGTATTTAGCATTTTGAACCGTATTCCAAAGATAATTTTATTCTCAAATGGGCTCCTTAGATTGTCATCATACTGTTCCACCAGGAAATTAAATTCAATTATCTCAAGGTTCCTAGGAAACATCTGGACATTACTTTGGCATGAACCTGCTTTGAGATGATTTTGACCTCCTGCCTTGACATAATTAGGGTTTTGGTAAGAATAATTAAATTTAAATGAACAAGTTTTTTTTTTTTTAATTTTAGCAAAAACTTCATAGGTATAACTTAAAACTTGAGTAAACCACTGATAGCAACTTATTTAAAAAGATATGAATAAACAAACAAGACCTTCAATTTCTTTTGTAGGAAAGTAAGCCAGGTAAGGATTCTGAAGATTGCTTCTCAGTAGTGGCGAAGTCAGACAGTTTTAAAGACTTTAGTGCATGGGCTCTTTTAAGGATATTAGGTTACTGGAGGACGAAATGAATACTTTGCAACCACAGCATCAAGCGAGAAACGGCATTACTCGGTATTCCTCAGCCTTCATTGAAAACAGCTCGAAATGGAATGCTAAACACTTATTTTGTTGTTGTTGTTCACTTAAAGTAAGCATTTTAATTGCAATAAGAATTTCAATTTTAAAGTTAGCCATTCTAAAAGCTAAAATCCATATTTCTGATCTGAAATCATTTTCCAAATACAAATGTTCTCCCTCTGAGCACCCTAGCAACAAGATCTGGTGAGAACTGTACCCTAGACGCATCTTGGAAAGCGCTGCTAAGGGCAGAACTTCTCCGCCTCAGCTCGTACCCCCAGAGCAGAAGGGTGCAATCAAAATGCAAACCCAGAAGATGTCAGCTTATTTTAGCACATTAAGACTTTAGAGGCTTCTAACTGAATGCAATTGACTCTAATTTATTGCTCTTAGTCACTAAGCCATTTGTCTGAAGCTTGTAGACATCAAGGTCAGTTGGAGGGCAGTCTGTTGCCTTATAGCAAATAGTTACTTGGTCTAGCTGTTATTTATGGGATGACTTGTTACGTAGAATGCTAGTCACTCTTCCTTTCTTCTGTGGCTTTTTTTAAGCCTTACTGATAGGATGAGTAAAAAGAAAAAAACAACAGGAAACAAGCAGTACAATGAAATAAAACTCTTTGTTAAACATCATACTTCTAAGTATTTCTGTATACTGGATTGTAAAACCCATGAAATGAGAACACTTTTGTCTGTTTTGCTCATAATGCTTCCAATGGCTCTAGATTTGTGGCATGATCAGCCTCAGAGAATTTGTATTTAACCTGCATTTTCATGGACTCTGAACTCATGTACAGTTCAATGGGCAGACATGTTCCCCAACCAAATCCTGGCATTTCTTCCTGAGATGATGGCTGGAACTATTTACACATTCTTTGGGGGCGTAGTTGTTGGCATTTCATGGTCAGTAGGTTGTTCCTCAATGAGGTAAGGGTAACCCACAT